ATTGAATTAATACACGCATACGATATATTACTCAGTATAAACCCTATAAGACATAAAATTGAATGAGGTTTGAACCTTTAAAAAAGATCTCCATTTCATTATTAAAATACACAGTTTCATACAGAAAAATTTTTTTTAATGCAATTAACACTTAGATGTTTGCACATGCATTTCTAATCTCTGTATATCTGATTATTACTAGTGACAGTTGGTTAATTTCTTTCTAATAGAACTCACCTAACAAATATTTATGATGGCTTGAAATTAATTTTTAAGACTTCTTTTTAAAATATTTTATGATTTTTTTGTGTATGAGTGTATTGCCTGCATGTATGTGAGTATACCCCTGCTGTTCAATGCTGCAGAGGTCAGAAGAGGGCTTCAGATTCCCCTGGAACTGGAGTTAAGGATGGTTCATAGCCGCCATGTGAATACTGGGAATTGAACCCAGGTCCTCTGCAAGAGCAGTCAGCACTCTCAACCACTGACACAAATAAAAATTCAAGGGCAAGAAAGCTCAGGTCATATTTGAGGAAATCCAGTTTAGCCTCAATAGGCTTGTGCCTATGTATATCACTGGAAAGATCAATTGGAGCTAGATTATCAAAGGCCTTGAAGGCTAGGCTACAGAGCTGAAACTTACTCTACAGACACAGACAGAAAGACGGCAGTATCACAGGTTTCTGAACAGAGTGTACCTTGATCATAAGGATGCTGTCAATATTTTATTCCAATAGCAGTGTGGACAGGGTCTGTGAGGAACAAGGCCTGGGGCAGGAATACAAATCATGGACTAATGGCAGCAGTTCTGGCAGCTCTCTCCCATTTTTCTAATACCACAGTGCCTAACAAAACAATGCAGCAAAGAGCAATCTCAAATATTAATTCCAGATATCTAAAGGTTAGACTATGGGACTACCCAATAAATAATAACAAAAAATACACACTTGTTATTTTTTGTTGTTGTTTTGGTCTTTTTGAGACAGGGTCTCCCTGTAGCCCCAGCTGTTCTGGAACTCACTATGTAGACCAGGTTGGCCCTGAACTCACAGAGATCCACCTGCCTCTGCCTCCTGAGTGCTGGGATTAAAGGCATGTGCCACCACGCCCGGCATACACTTGTAAATTTTAATAGATGTAATACTGCATTTCCAGAGCAAGCTATAGCTGATTAAAAACAGGAAAAAAAAAAAAAAAAAAAAGAAAAAGGAAAAGAAATTCAAGACTCCATGGATGTAAGGTCAATCTCCTTTACTGAAAATTTACCTGGTACCTTCTCTACAGAACGGATGGCTTCTAACTTACTTTGGTCATATTCAACAGACAACAGATTGGGACATGAAGGACAGTGCTTTCCCATGACTGAAACTGTCAGCAAAGCCAAACCTCATGAGAAGCCAGGGCCCAGATCAGTAAAACGTCTCCATTATAGGTAAAGCCAACAGAATTCAGAAGAAACACAGAATATTATAAACTTAGCACACAACCCTTTCCTCCTCCAACTTAGTCTTCAAGCAGGAAACATTTCTTCTTAATGTGGACTTAAATCTGAAGGGGTAATATGCTAGAGAATGCATGACACATGTGTTATAAAATGTTAGCTCATTCTTACTTACAGTTACTCAGGAGGACTCTTCTATTGCAGCTGAACTACTTTTCAATAAAATTAGGTATTCACTTTCTTTTTTCACTGTTTACCTACCTCTAAGTCCTAAGTATGGAATAGTTTATAGCATATTGGTCTGACCATGTTCAATACCTCATTCTCACTTATTAGTTCCTAGCTTATCAAATAGTGAACATAAGAAGTTCTGTATGATGTGTACTTGGCCCTGCATTTCTGTAAGTCCCACACTTGACCCTCCATTCTGTGGGTCCCATATCTGTAGATTTGGCTTCCTCTTTGGGGAGAGGATAGACAACACTAGGGATTGAACTTAGGATCACAAGCATGTAAGACATGTGCTCTACCACTGAGCTATAGCCCCAGCCCTTCAATTTACTACAGACTGAAAATATTTGAAAACAAAAAGGCCTTCATTTGTGCTGAATGTATACAGATGTTTTCCTTAATTTTTCTGGATATATTTATTTTTTTCTTTATCCCCTAAGCAATATAATGTAGTAGCTATTTACATAGAATTTATACTGCATTAGGTAGTATAAGCAACCTAGAGATGATTTCAAGTACACAGGAAGGTGTGCACACAAACACTGTGCCAACATATGGAAGAGGCTTGAGCATCTAAGGATTTTGGTTATCTGTGGGTATCCTAAAGACAATCTCCCATCTCCCATGGACACTGAAGGACAAATGTATATATTATTAATAAGAGTAATAAAGGTAACTGTGACTTGTTCCTTTATTAATTCCCTCATTCAGTAACTGAAGAAGCTTTACATGATGAGGAGAAAAAAAATTATTTTGAATCCTGTTTAGGGACTCAGACTAACACAAGAACTAAATGCAGGTTTTCATCAGTGTGTTGAAAATATCTGACTAAAAGTACCTTTCACAAGTTCCATATGTCTCAGTACACTGGCTTCTTACAATCTAGTGTCTATGTCACACTTATCAATCTGAGGTCAGGATACCTGGACCCTCATGCCAGATTTTTCTGTGCCCCTTTATCATATTGCTGCATCAGGTGTATTTTAGAAAAGCTCATGGCTTTTATAAGCTTGCTGTCATTAACAATGGGATCAGCCTTGTCCTTGGGAACTGAACTTCATGCTCTTTTTGGAGCCCTCTGACAGGCAGTGGATGTGAAGGACTGTATTACCTGCCTCCTTCTCAGTTTCTGACTCAGAAGCCTCATCTTCACCTTCCTCTTCCTCTGAGCTGGAGCTGCTGGATTCTTTGTTTTCTTCCTCCATTTGTTGGGACTTGGGTATCTCTTCCTCATAAAGCATCTTCTCTTTGCTAAATTAAAGACACACTTTGAAAACAATTCAGGAATGACAAATCATTTAAATTCAATGACAATTAGATATGATAAAAGGAACAAATCTATAATCTTTCTGTAGAAACAAGAGTAAGAACACAATGAAATCCTTCTTTACACCTCTGAATTCTCATGGTTTTTCATAGTCTAAGATTTAGTAGTGATTTTAGAGTATGACTCAGGAGACTTGGTCTGTTCAACATATAGATAAAAGAAAACCATTAAGTGCCTTTAGTCCCAGCACTGGTGAGGCAAGGGCAGGCAGATCTCTGTGAGTTCAAGGCTAGCCTGGTCTACAAAGCAAGTTCTAGGCCAGCTGGGGCTACAGGGAGACCCTGTCTCAAAAAGACCAAAAAAAACCCCAAACAAACAAAAAAAAAGAACCATGAATAGTGATAATATGATGATGGTAGGGGAGGTAAGTATTCAACAAATCATCTAGTAAGTGTTTACTAAGTATTTACTATATGCCAGGAACCATGGTAGACAGTGAAACAGTAATAATAAAAAAAAAAAAACAAACAAATTCCTGAGATGATGCTGTACCCAGTATAGTAAGGGGAACAGGTAGGACTAAGAACCCTTAGGCTAGTGTTTGCTAAACATCATCACAATTTGGCTTGTTGACAGTTACGCTCATTCATTAAAGGAAGGGCAAGCAGGGTCCATGGACCCTCACTGGAGTATCCAGCCACTCTTCCCAGCCAACTATATGTAATGTGGACCTAAATATATAATCTGGGGAAGACTAGGAAGAGAAGGCTTGATCCATGCTAGGTAAAGGCTTTCCAGGGGGCATACCCCCAGGTCACTCATACACCTTAGCAACTCCTCAGTCATCTCTGCAAATAAGCTCAGTAAATTCATTGTTCTCCAAGAAAACTGTTTGATAGTAGAACCTTAAAAGGCGATAAGCATTGCTTAGCTTCCCCAGGAAAAGAATTCTCAGAACAGATAGAAAATTTATTTGTTAATATTTTTAAGTCTCATAATTATTAAAAAAGAAAATGAGAATGTAAAAGATGTTAAAAGGATATGGGAATGGAGGTATTTTCCAAAATAGAAAAAATGAGAAAGCCTAAGCAAGTGATAAGGGTCTGTGTAGATTTGCTATGATGTACAAAGGATGAGACAGAAATAATATACACATAATCTTAAAATTTCTAAGCT